ATCCCAAGTCTGATGGGTGGAAGCAGATGGTGATGAGCACTGGGAACAAGTTGTGAAGGAGAGTGGTGGGGAATTGGCCTCTCTTGGCACGTTTTTAGGGGGATGCTGAGAGCCTTGGGGCTGGGAAATTGGGATCTCTGCTCCTTAAAACTCCTTACTTCCCATCTGAATTGCCTGGCTCTTTGGTGGTGGTGCTGGCCAGGAGGTCCCACGCTCATTTGTCTTCTCTGAGTGGCAAACTCAGGGAGTGCAATGCTGAGCCCACTGCATTCTGCACAGATGGAAGCACATGGAAGCATTCATCCTTCCTTGTGGCATTTACTGCTTCTTGGTAAGGGAGGGCTGTCACAAATGTCAATCTCTTTTTCTTGGAGCAACTGCCCTGTTGCCCTGTGGGCTCAGATTTGCCAGCTAAGGAACCCAATACATTCCCCAAGTGTTCCTGTGGCCTGTAGAAATAACTGGCTTTGTTTATTTGAGCTTGTGTTTATCCAGGGAAAGGAGACTTTTGTCTAGAACAGAATCCTTTTTTTTCACATCTTGATGTCAGCAACCTCAACTTCCTGCTGTAGCCAAAGGGGAGAGCAGTGGGCAGCAGCATTGGGATCAGTGCCCCAGGCCACCCTCCTGGCTCCATCCTTGGACCTGACGCTTGTGCCACCATTATTTCCCTGCATGTGGGTGTTTGTTGGAAGCTCTTGTTGGCTGCTTTCTTGCTGGAGAAATCCAGGCAGCAAACAGTCAGGGTTGAGTGGCACCTGCACTGTTTGGGGAGGGGATCTTCTGGAGCCTGTACCTCCAGTGTGTTGGGATGGTGTTACTGGGGGATGTGACTGGGAGCTCTGCTTGCAGGTGGATTTAAGATGGAATCATAGACATAGTGGGCACCAGAGCCAACAAAATGATTTTGTCTTCAGGCTCTGCATACCCAGCTTTGGGGGTCAGGTTGGAGAAGACTCTTCTAAATTCCTTCCAAGGTCAGCAGAGGGGCAGAGGCACTGTGGTGCTGTGGTTTGGGGGTCTAGAGATGCCCACTGAAGATGCCTGTCACCTGGGTGGATCTGCTCCCTGGGGGTCTCTCACCAAGGAGTTAACATTCCCAGCTCCTACTCTGAAAAAGCAAAGCTGTGGGGCATATAGTGACAGGAATGAGAAGATCAAAGCTCCCAAAGGTTGAGCTGAGCTGATCAGTGACATGGGACGTGTTGAGAGCAATGCTCCTGTGATGATGGAGCACCTTTGGTCCATGTTCTGTCTCCTGATGCAGAGTCATGAGTTTGTGACTAGTAACAAGGCTCCCTCTTGGCTTTTCTTGTCTCTGTGTCTGCAGGAGTGAAAGGACTTTGTAGGTGAGAAAAATGATACATGTGCTGCATAGCTTCTTCATGTGGGGGTACACTGGAGCCTAGAACCATCTCACATGCTTTGGTGGTCTCAGCCTGAGTTCTTCTGACAGATCTGGGGGTGCCCTGCACCTTCACACCCTCTCTGCCCTTGGAAATGCACTGCAGATATCTCTGCTAGTTGCACTTCTCGGGAGTTTTTGCTTTTGGCTTTTATCACTCCAAAATGCATTTTTCTTGCCTGACTTTTATTATTGAGGACAAACCAAAATTCTCATAAATATGAATGGGTGGTCTAGATGACATTAAAACCAGTGGGGTGTTTTTATTTCTGGTTTGCCCTCTTCTCACTCTCTCATTAATAATTGCTGCTGTTCTGTCCCCTTGAGGGCAGCTGATGCACTCACCAGTGCTGCTAAGATGGCAGGCACTACTCTGTGTGCATCTCTCCATGCCAGCACCCACTGTGGGACCCCACTGCACCTTCCTGGGGGTGGCTGTAACGAGGGGTAGGATTTAATTATCCCCCAGAGCCTGGCATGCCGCGGCGCCGTTGGCATGGCTGGGGACTCTGGGTGGATTTGCTTTTCCCCCAGCGAGCAGAGGCTGTGGCGGCCGCTGCCGCCCGGGCTTGGCTCCGTTCCACTTGTGTCCTCGGCGCTGGTGAAAGCACGTTCCTCGTGATGGGAAAGCCTCCGCCACAAACACAAAGGGCTTTCAGCAGGGGAGGCAGCGGCGGGCGGACACGGATGGCCAGCGCTGGCACACTGCAGCTTCACCCCATCTCACTGCCACAGGGGTGCCTGCACACACACCAGCTTCCTCCAGCAGCCAGAGTGCAGCTGGTATTTCATCTTAGAGCTTGGAAAGAGAAAGAAATTTTATTTCTGCAAGGGGTATTCAGGGCCTAAAACCAGTATGGGGGGTGGCCCAGAAGGTACAAGGCTCATTTTTGGAGCTGGGGATCTCGGTTAGCACAGCCCTGGAGGTGATGTGCAATGCGCTGCTGTGGGGTGTGAGTGCTGCCCACCACCCCCAGCCAGCATTGCCCCAGGCTCCCTCTCTCCCTCCGAGGGCAAGAGCAGCCAGAGGAGCTACCCCATGATATGCAGGGCTCTCCCAGCCATCCTGCATCTCCTGACCTTGCTCAGCAAGCAGGAGGGTGAAAAGATCATGGCAATGAGAGATAAGGCACACATAGAGGGGGAGCTGAATTTCAGGGATTGATCCATGTGGCTTTTCCTCCAGCATGGCTTTCAGTTGTTTTTTTTTGGTTGTGTCCCAGTGGAGAACCTCTGCTCCTGCCCTCACCCTTGAAGAAGCATCCTGAACCTTTTTATTTTGCTCTGGAGCTTGGGGCAAGGGAGCAGGAGAGCCGCCTTGTCTCCCCACGGCTGCTGAAAGAGGCTGTTTATTACAGAGCAGGGTGAGATATGAAATCCCATCAAGCCGCCTTGCTTATTAGAGATCTCAGTGAGCTGCTTATTATGCACCATGGCATAATGCAGATTACGAATGTGACCGGGCGATAATTAGCAGAGCTGGAACTGTAATTAAACGCTCCTGAGCTGCGCTGTGGTTTCTGTTGCAGAGTGGAAGGAAGCTGAACGGTCTCAGCAGGTCTCCAACATGCACACACAGCCTCCACTCCCCAGGCAATGGGGGAAAGTGATCCCTGCCACTCCCTGGGCTCTTCCTGCTGCCCACCACCCTGGTTCTTCCCTGGCTCTTCCTTTGCTGGTGACTGATGTGTGGTTTGCACATCGAGGAGCCTCTAAGAAGCCTCACACTTGCTTGGAGCATCTTGCCCTGGATGTGCTGATGAGGTTGCTGTGTTTTGGGGGGTGATTTTCCTGTGGGAGTCTTCTGGAAGCTCCTCTGGCAGCCTTCTGGGGTGGTTTTATGCCAAAACCACCCTTCTTGAATCCCATGGGGTACACTTGGGCCACTGGCCCTATGGCAGCCTTGGAGGTGGATGGTCTGGAGATGGGCTACTGGGGGAGAGCTGGTTCTGTTGCTGGGAGATTGGAGGTGGTTGTGGATGACAAGCTGTGCTGCTGGGGAGGGCACTGTGGGGTCCAGCCACTGCTGTTAGAGACCTCCAGGCCATCTTTAGTGCCAGGTGGGCTGCATGTTGCTCTGATGAGCTGTCTAGAGAGAGGATGGATGCAGTACAGGGAGAGGGCTGCAGACAGAAGGTGCTTTGTGTTCTGCTGGAAAAGCAAATCCACTTGCACTATCAGAGCCAGGATGTGATGTCCTCATCTCTGCTCCTCTGCCTAGAGATTTGTGTCACCAGGGATGTGGAGAGGATCTGTGGGTCAGCAGTTGGTGGGGAGATGTGATGCTGCAGGCACTTGCTGTGGTTACCCTATCAGGTAGGGCAGGCTGGGTTGGACATGCAAGGTTCTGCTGGAGTTGTTTCCCTTGCTGGAAGGAGGGGGATGTGTGAGCAAGAGAGAGAGCAGGCAAATTTGGCAGCTGGTCAGGACCAGGATGGGAGTCAGCAGCAAGGCTGGGCTGGTGCCCATGTCCACACTTGATAACCACAAACTTGAGCTCTCTCTCAGACTTAAGGTCTGTTGTTTTCCCTCAGAAGAGTTTTAGAAGGACTGGGAGTACAACTGGGTGCTCTAGAGGAATCTTTGCCTGCTTGAAACAGGAACCCAGGTCAGCGCTTGCTGCGGTTGTGATGAGTTTCCTCAGTCTGCTTCTCTTCTGAGGTAGCCCGGTGTCTAAAGATCACAAATGGTGAAGAGGGGAAGTCTCAGCTGAAGAGGAGCCGCTCACCCCTTGCTGCAGGTCCTCGCAAGCCAAGGTGTAGGAGTGGCTGGCCGTGGCTGGCTTGGCTGATGAGCCCCAGAGGAGGAGGAGGTCTCCACCTTGCCTTGGCCAGCCACAGAATCCGCCCATCAGCCATCCTCCTCCTGACACTGCTGTAATCTGCTTGCGTGGCAGAGCGGCCAAGGGCCTTGGCTTCTCAGCAGCAGGGTTGCTTGGCTGGGCTTCCTCTTGGCATGTTGGCTTGTTGGCTTTCCAAGCCCGGCTCTGGCTGTGGGATCTGGTTTCTGTGTGCAAAGAGAGCACAATGGCTGGATCAGGCTCTGAAGCAGATACTTGCATAGGGAAGAGGGATATGATCCAAGTGCCTGTGTCTGCAGGTGGTCACAGGGTGGTTCTGGAAGGAGAAGGATGTTGGTTTTCATGGGTGCCAGAGGGAGTCTGCTACTCGTTTGTCCTGTCCTGCTGGTTGAGCAGAAGCTCTTCTAGGGAGCCATGGGGTCCAAAGTCATTGACTGCATTAACATCTGAGCCATAGCCAAGAGGCATCCTCAGCAGGCATGATTACAGAAGCCGTCGGGGAAGGAACTTGCCATGAGCTCTTTCAAGCAGGAGCACAGATATCTCCTGCACAAGGACTTCTGGCTGTGATCTCTGTGACTACAGAGCTCCCCAGGGTTACATGGGCATGGGCACGCCAGGGCAGCAGAGCCCTGCGAGATCCTTGTCCTCTGATGGTGTGTGGGACCTGAGCTGAAGGTGGCAGTCCTGAGCTTGAGGTTCTCCAGGAATGTAAATATCTGTTGATACTTGCTCTCCCTTCTGTGTTGCCAGCAGTATTCCTGACAGTGACCACATTTCTCTTTTCCCCCACAGATGGAATCTCCAGTCTCTACGCCTGCAGTGCTGCCCTTGCACCTCCTCGTCCCCGTGGTGAACAACGACATCTCGTCGCCGTGCGAGCAGATCATGGTGCGCACGCGCTCGGTGGGGGTGAACACGTGCGACGTGGCCCTGGCCACCGAGCCCGAGTGCCTGGGCCCCTGCGAGCCTGGCACCAGCGTCAACCTGGAGGGCATCGTCTGGCAGGAGACAGAGGACGGTGAGTGCCATGGAGCTTCATCACAGCAGAGTTGTGGCAGTCCCTTCCTTCCCATGTCCCTGCTGTGGTGTTCTTTGGTGTCTCCTGGGCTCGCCTGCCACCAGTTGGGTTGTCAGGACAGAGGAGCCATGTGAGAGCAGTCCATAATCCTCCAGTAAAGGGAGTAATGGGCTAATACTTGCATCAGCCCCATGTGTTGCGTTATCCCTTTGCCCAGACAGCAGGCAAAAATCTAAGCTGCCATTTCTCTGCCCTTGGACAAGAGCTGACTTGTTTTGGAGGTGCCAGGGGAAAGGCCGTGCCAGCCGGCAGGGGAATTCGACAGAGTTGACTTCATTTTTGCTTGGCAACCCGCAGGTCTGTCACAAAAACACTCAAACCCTGGGAGGTGGCAGAAATCTCCTGCTGGATTAAAAAACCCCAGTGGAGCTCTCAAAATCGACTCAGTGGGAGATCAGCCTCTCGCCTCTCTTGCCAAGCCAATCCAATCTTTTTTTTCCACTGGAGCTCATCTCATCCGTGCACAGCTTGGTTTGCTTTCCCAGGTCCTTTGATGGGTTTTCATTGCTCTTGGGGCTCTGCCAAGGAATGCAGGGATGAATAGGTGGCTCAGTGGCCCATGGCAAGCGCTGGAACTTGGCCTTCCCTCGAGCCTGAGTGGGATGCTGGAGGTTTCTGCCTTGGGAGGCACGGGGTGAGCTCCTTGTGTTTGTGTGTGGAAGCAGAAACAGTCCAGAAGCACAAAGGTGAGAGAGAGCAGTGGTGGTGGAGGCTGGTTGTTGGGTCATCTCAGCCAGGTATCCATGTGCTCCTCTTGGACATCTGCTCCCACTCTTCCATTGCAGTTCTGTGCAGAGAATGAAGCTGTTGGCCTTTATCCCAGCCACTCCTCACTGAGACTCTGTTACTGGGGATGGAAGCTGAGCTGAAATCCCCATTCCTATTATCTGCTTCCAGTGAGGTTCTCTTCTTGTCCCGTGCTTTGGGAAGGTGAGGGTGGGCCCAGTTTGCCTTTCCTCTTTTCCTACTGGCAAACTGGTTTTGAAACCATGGTTGGCACAGGACCAGGTGCTGCAGTGGCTGCTTGGGAAAAGCATATTGAGAAATAGCACCAGAGCTGTTTGGGAAGAGAGCAGTGGATGGACTGTGCCAGGGAAGATGGGAGTGTCTAGCTTGGGATGGGGACCTTGGCACTCTTCTCCTTTACCATCCATTCCATACGGAAAAAAAATCACCCTGGTTGAGGCAGCTGGGAGCTGTAAGTGTGTTTTTTCTGCTGCTCCAAATCAGAAGGATGTCACATGTAAGACTTGTGAGAAGAAACAAAACAGGAGAGTTCAGAAGTCCTCCTCTGCACATCCCAGGGCCAGGGGATCTGCAGGGTGGATCCAAAGAAATCTGTGGAAGGTCTGCACTCATCTACCACCTCCCCAGCACTGCGTGATCAATGTCTCCAAGAGCCCGATCACTTTGTAGGATACACCACCTTCAGCTGGGGAAACTGAGGCACAGCTGGGCTGGGTTTTGGGAAACACAGCAGCACAGAGGAACATTGGCACCCTTCACTTGTGGGGCCCCCCCATCTCTCCAGCCCCATCAGCCTACTGTCCTGGTGTGACTTCCCTCAACCCAAAAGCCCTGGAGCTGCAGAGTTCCCTGAAAATCCCAGGGCTGCTGGAGAGCCCCATGGGCAGCAGCAGAGCTGAGGAGAGCTTGCACCTTGTAGGGTGGTTTTGGGTGGAAATCCAAAAAGGGTAACAATGGCCGTGCCAGGATGGATGAACTGAGCATCCCTGAGGCAGGGAGCACAGAAACTTCCCTCCCTGCCAGTTCCTGCTTGAGAGGCCTTGCCATGGGAGTGGTTGCTGTTCTTTTCTCCTGCTCCTCACCCCACCGTGGAGCTCCATGCCTGCCCCTCAATTCTGCAGCCACCATTTCAGAGCACGCCTTGGAGGTGTCCTGTGATTTCCCACAGCCCAGGTATTTTTAGTCTGTGGTAATTCAGTGATGCTTCTCTGCCAGTTGCCGCTGTTGGGAGCAAGGATTTCACATCCAGTTCTGCACAAAAAACCCTGATATTGCCTTTGGTCTCTTTGGGTCTGCTGTGTGCCTTGGCTCAGTCACACAGCATCTCTCATCCTTGACTGTAAAGGAGGGGGGAGCCAGCCCTGGTTTTTGCCTGGCATCTCTCCCCTGCCTTCCCCTTGTCAAAGATGGAGTCAAGGGTGGTGCTGGATCTGGCTGTTGGAAGCTGGAGGTTGTGAAGTGTCCAGGGATGCAGCAGCCATCTCCCCTCGCCCAAAGGATACAGAGGAGAAAGCTACACCAAGGGCATGTGTGCAAAGTCAAAGCATCTGGAGACTCTCCTCATATCTCCAGAGGGATCAGTTTCTCCCCTTGCTCCTTGGGATGTAGCAGCCTCACTGGACTGCTTGGAAGGACCCCAGAGCAGTGGAGCAGCTCTTGGCTTGAATCAAGTTTGGAATCACTGGACTAAGGAATGGTTTAGTTTGAAAGGGACCTTAAAGCCCAGTTCATTCCACCCCCTGCCGTGGAACCAGTTCATTCCACCCCCACCTTCCACTAGCCAGAGTTGCTCCAAGTCCCATCCAAGTCCCATCCAAGTCCCATCGAACACTTTTAGGGATGGGGCAGCCAGAGCTTCTCTGGGAAACTTGTTCCAGGGCCTCATTATCCTGCCAGGAAGGAATTTTTTCCCTAATATCCAATCTAAATCTCCCCTCTTACAGCTAAAGCCATTACTCTTTGGCCTGTCACTTCTTGGCCTTGCAAAAATCCCTCTTCAGCATTCTTTTAGAGATCCCCTTTAGGCTTTGGAAAGGACTCTTAAGATCTCCGTGAAGCCAGCCTGCTCCTCTCCATGTGGGTCTGCAAAATCGTGGAGAAAAGCTTCTAAAGCCAAAGCCAAAGCCTGGCAATGCCTGGGAGGATAAGTTGGCCAAGAAGGACAAGTCCATCTGAGATGGGAGTGTGAAGCTCCAGTGAACCTGATGATGTCCTTTCTTCCCTGAACCAACTTTGTCCTCATCTCCCACTAGAAAATGTGCCATGAGTCCATGAGCCTTGCTGAAGGCATCCCAGAGGGCTCCCAGCCATCTGGCTCTGGGCTGGGTCCACCTTCTCCTCCACCATTCCAGGCTGGTGTTGGCCCAAGGTCTGGTCTAGCTGGCAGTGACACTGTTATTCTTGCTCTCCTGCGGCCATGCTGGTGACACTGTCCTTTGCTGAGCCTGGCTTGCACAGGGATGTGTTTTATCAGGACACTTTCAGGGGGGAGCAGCTGTGTTGGGAGCTCCCCTGGTGCTGCTGTGTGTAATTCTGATCCTCAGGAACTGAGGAACAGATTATCTGATGTGATCACACCAGGAAGCATTGCTCTCTTGGCTGCCTCACGAGCTGCCAGCTCTCCTCCATTCCCCTCAGTCAAGCTGGTGTCACCTGGCTTGGATCATGTCACCTTGTCACCTCCCCATGGTGCCATACCAGTGCTGATCCCAGCAAAACAAACACAAACCCTCTGAGCTATGAGGATCATGGTGTGGCAGCACATCAGCAAATGGACATCCCTTCCTCCAGCTCCTTGCTGGGGTGTTTGTGGCAGGTTACCATGGCTCAGGTTTCTGTACTCTGGACATTTGGATTGTCCTTTTGCAAACTCCTCATGAGGGTATGGTGGAGCACGAGCCTGCCCAGGGTTGGCACGTGACAGTGGACATGTCCTTGCTTGGAGCGGGAGGGAAATGCAAGAGATGGGGATAGAATGGAGAAGATGGGAGGGTGAGAGCAAACACTTTTCTAATAGTGGCTTAGATGCTTCCTCTGCCAGCTCTCATGGGAACTGTGGGGTCTCATCAGGTCTCATGGACTTACACACCTTGAACTTCTCTTACAGGTGGTTCTTCCTTCTCCCAGTCCCTGTCTTTGCCTCCTCCATCAGCTGGTGTGGCTGGAGCAGGTGTTGCTGGGGAAAATCAAGGCAAACAAGTCACTGAGCCCCTTAGCTGTGGGTTACCACAACTGCAGGCTTCCTTCGTGTGTTTGAGTTTCTCCAAGAGTTCCTTGTTAATCCATCAGGCCTTCTGGAATTTCTGCCTGAATTTTCTTTGTTGGGATGCATTGCTCCTGAATTAAGGGATGATCCTTGGATGTCACCCAGCTTCCTTGTGTCCCAGGCCCCTCCAGCACTCTGTCCCATGGCACTCAGTCAAATGGGTCTCTGAAGAGGCCGTAGTCCCCTCTCCTGGAGTCCAGGGCAGTGATCCTTCTGTGTGCTGCAGTCCCTGGGAAGCAGTTGGATGGCCAGGGACACTCATGCACCATCTGAGCATCCATCCCTGCATGGTATGATGGGAAGATCTGTCTCCCTCCGGCCCTGCTGGGGAAACCATGTTCAAGTTGTCTGTTTGATAGCAGGGACTTCTCTGTGAAACTTCCCCCACGTTGGACAAGGTCAGCTGAAGCAGAGCCTATCAGTGATGAGGGCAGGATAATGTATTTAGGAAGGGGAGAAAAAGCAGCCCCCATTCTATATCCCCCTGTGCTGTTAGGGGGCAGAAATGTAGAAATCAGAAGTAAAGTTGAGCCTGGGAAGAAGCCAGGAGAAAGTCTTTTAAGGTTTGGTTTTATTTCTTATTACCCTACTCTGATTTCATCCATAATAAATTAAATTAGTTTCCCCAGGGTGAGTCTCTTTTGCCTGTGATGGTAATTGGTGAGTGATCTCTCCTCACTGGGTGAGGTGACAATTATGCTGGACAGCTCTGTGGTGTCCCCTGTCTCCTGGCAGGAGCATGGTGGCCATGAGCAGCTTTGGTGTTGTGTCCCAAAGCCTGGGCACGACAGGTCAGACAGGATCTCTGCACATGAGCTGGGCTTATGGAAAAGCTGGAGCATCCTGGAAGTAATGCAGCTGGAGGGGAAACAACAAAGATCATTTTAAAGATGATGCAGCTGGGGAAGAAATTAATGGAAGAAGGGACATCCCAAAGCCAGGGCATCCTGGAAGTGATGCAGGTGGAGGAGGAATTCATGATGTTTTTGGTTGGGCTTGGGGGGTTTGTCTTTGAAAAAGGGGGAAATGTACTTCAATAGAATGGCTCCTGATGCCCACAGCACCTTGTCCTCCATCCCACATAATGCCAGGATTTTCTCATACTCTGCCTTCCTGAATGGCAACATCACCACCCCCTAATTTTTCCAGCCAGGATACAACTCTGATGTGAGCATTTGGTAAGCAGGATGCTGAGTGGTTTGCACTCAGATTTGGGTGCTAGTGATTCCTTAGGAGCTTCAGAGATGTCTCCTTCCCATAAACCAGGTGGGGTGGGAGTTACCCAAGTGGGATTCCTTCTGTTCAAGAGCATTGGCGTTCTTGGAGATGTGAAAGCATTGCTTCCTCACTGCTGCCCTTGTCATGCCTGCTCATCATCCTGCCGTGGGAGGGGGACACAGTGGGTGAAAAAAGCTGCTTAGGATCTATCCTGGGGTTTAAATTGTCCTGGGTTATTGTTGGAGGATTAGGAGGGGATTTGGTATGATTGGTTGCAGCGGGTTAAATATAGGCTGGTGTGTATTGGAGGTCTGGTGTTCCAACAGGGAAGGAGACACGGTGCCAGCTCGTTTTGCCCCTTCCTCTTTCATCTCTCTCTTGTGACTGTGGTGGTCGGGATGAAAAATGCCAGCACTTCTTTCTAATATCACGCACTGGCCCCGGGATGCATGAGAGACTCCAGTGGTTTGCCATGCAATTAACTTGCAGCGGCTCACGTGGCCTTCTCTGCCTTCAGAGGGATTGAGCTGGCAGGGAGAGCAGAGGGACTGGGAGGGATGGGGCCTGGGTTAGTGCTGCGTGTTCCTCAGTGCCTCCCAGGTGCTTGGGCAGCTCCTGGGAGGATCCCACAGCAGCTCCCCAGAGGTGTCCTGGCAATGGTGGGGCTGGGTTGGGGTGCAGGAGGCAGCCAGGAGCTTCTCTGGATTTTAAGGAAAGGGGGACAGGCTCCTGCCTGCCAAAAACTGCTGCATTAGGAGGAACAGAAGGCCATATTCCATGTGCCCCCTTTGGGATGCCTGGAACCAGCATCCCACTGGTATTTCCCTGAGTTGGGCTGTGGGTTCCCCGCAGTTGGTTTCTCCCTCAGGTTGTCTCCACCATCACAGCCTGGCCATGTCTTTGTTAAGGCAGGTCCCCAGCACCTTCCTCTGAAGGCAGAACCCATTGTCTCTTGCTCACTGGGATGAGCCAGTTGTGCCTCTTGGCCATGTGCTGGCACCATGATCTGCTCGCAACATTTTCCAGGAGGAAAAGGAGAAAGAGAAGGTCTGCATTTCATTTCTGTCTCTGAAGGAGCCCCACGTGTCTGGCCTTGGCTCCATGTATTATCCATGCCGAAGCCTGCAGCTGGCTGCTGGCATAGCACAACGGGGGATGTGGGCTGAGATTTATAAACATGCTTCAGGCGCAGCTGCTCCGGGCTCCCTCGGCTCCATCCATCTCCCAGGGCCGTATATCTTGCTGCACTCATCAACCCTTGCAAATGTATTCCCGAGTTTTACCTTGCTTGGATAAATGTGCCTGGCACAACAGACTCTGCTCCAGTGATCCGTGGCAAGGAGGAGACACCACAATGCTGAGGGGTGCTGTGGAAGACCCCTCTGCCTCCCAGAAGAGGTGCTGAGCATCCTTGACCTCGGTGTGGGTGTGAGCCAGGCAGTTCCTCTTCTGAATTAGTGTGGAAAAGCTGAAACTCCAATGTTTTCTCTTTGCTCCGTGATGGGAGGCTGTGACCCCATGGATGGTTCTCCAAATGGAAATACAGGGCAGAGGGATTCCCGTGGAGGTGCTGAAACAAAGTGGCCCAGGGCAACAGAGGATTATTCTGCCAGGATTGGGTTTTCCTGCCAGGAACAGTCTCCTGGGCAGGAATGCTGGGCTCAGCTTGCCATCTAGTGGCAGTAGCAGCTTTTTCCAGAGAGTCATGAGGTTCATGGCCATGCTGGTTCATAGCCCTGCTGGGGCATCTGCAGCTCCACTTTGAGGTCTACAGCCTTGCTAGGAGCTTTCTGCATTTTCCCCAGGGCCTTTCCAGCTCTTTCACATTCCCTACCCTACCTGAGCACACATGGAGCCAATGTGGATCTTCAGATCCCCCCGGAAGGGCTGAAATCCCACAGCCCTTTGGGGATGACTGGGTTTTAATATTCCATGAAAGTAGGGAATGGGAAGAGAGGTTAGGTGAGACATGCTGAAGGAAGGGATGAGCTGGGAGTCTCCAAATCCTATCTTGGTGCCCCTCCAGCCCTGATCCCAATGTTTCACCTCTTCTGAGAGCCCATGACCACTTGTCCACCCTCCTTCAACTCTACAGCTAATCTCTTCCTCCTGTCTGTCTTGAGGGGCAGGTTCCTGGCACCAGAGGATCACACCTGGCCCTGTCTGACCCTTTCTCCTCGCCTTGCAGGGATGCTGGTGGTCAACGTCACCTGGAGGAACAAGACGTACGTGGGGACACTGCTGGACTGCACGCAGCATGACTGGGCACCGCCCCGGTGAGTGCGTGGGGGCTCTGGTGGGCTTCTAGTGCTGAGGGCAGGTCTGGGTCTGTATGGCCCCCTTGGCACCTGGGACACTCTGCCCTGTGCCCATGGGGCTGCCACAGGGTTGGCATCTCCACCTTGCCCAACCCAGCTGCTCCCATGGCCCTTTGCCCCTGCAGAGGATCTCTCTGGTTCCTCTTTATCGGTCAGTGGGTAGAGAAGTCTATGGCATTGGTAGTGAGGAGAGCAAGGGGGTCTCCACTGTGCCTTGGGGACAGCGCAACCATGTTTCTGTTCAAGCCTCTGTGTCCCCCTCCCTGTAGGTTCTGTGACTCTCCCACCAGTGACCTGGAGATGCGCAACGGCCGGGGCAGGGGCAAGCGGATGCGCCCCAACAGCAACACGCCGGTGAACGAGACGG